AGGGAGAAACAGGTGGAGCAGGGAGCCCGATGCGGGGCTCGATCCAGGACCCTGGGATCATGACCTGAGCCGAAGGCAGACGCTTAACGACTGAGCCACCCAGGCGCCCCTCCCCTATCCCACTCTTGTCCATAAGCACAATGACTTCAATGTTCAAAAAATTTAGGCTCAAACTTTCCTGAACTCTTCCATTCTGTTTTTAGTAACCCATGTTCAAAGACACATCCTGGAACTCACTTAGAATTCCACTATCTTCATCTTTGAAATCTCAGACTTTCATGTTTCAGTCTCTGGCTACCACATCTATCTTTCATCTCTTCCATTTCTCTTTCTTCTATAACATCTGTTTTTTCTCATAACGATTTCCCTTTCCTCTTCATTGAACACTGCGTTCATTGCCTGATTTCCTTTCCCATAGAGGTCTTTCTTTTACATCCCCTCCCCACAAAGTCCCCAATTTTAACCAGATAATTCTCTTAGATCTGAACTGTAGAATCAAATGTACTCAGACTGTCATGTTTGTAAATTTAGTTATCTCCAACCTCCAACCTCAGCCATCAGCATTGTTGCTGATGGAATGCTGCTCAGGAATCCTTTCAGAAATTTATTCCTGGTTAATAGCCCATCCTGTTTTCTTGAGTGATTATCAGAGATCTCCACCACCCTTTAAGGACTTCCCCCAACTGACCTCGATCACATATGTCAGCATGAATCTGAACTATTTCAATACTATTTACAAACTTTTCTCACCTCTTTATTCGATCTTCAGAAGAATCACTGTCCCTTCATTAAGTGAAAGCTATCTCTTCGCTTCTATTCTTGATCTGATTTCCATTTCGACTTCCACTAGCTCTTTGCTCTACTGGTTATTTTCTCTATTTTCAACTCTTCTAACAAGATTTAGCTCTCCACCCTCGTTATCCTCAGAGTTGCCGTGGGGTTCTAATGCCCAGAATTAGTGATGTGGTCCACACTTTCAAGAATTCTTCAGTTATAATAAGGACAATGTAAAATAGACATACTTCATGTTTCCTAAAGACCTTGTTAACTCAACAATGTGCATCAAACAATTTTCCCAGAGGAATAAACAAGGAGAAAGGATGCATCAAGAGCGTTACAATTACAGGAATGCATCATGCAGTGAAGAGCATATTCTTCATTTTCCCTTTCTTACCTGATTATATGAGAATTCTAGCAAACTTAAAATGCACCTGCTTTTTATTTTCACAACACTGTCTCAAACATTTTGCAGAGGGTTCTCTTAAATCAATAGCCTGACATGTCACAGCGATTGTTTGGACTGCCTGGTAACATTTTAACACATTAACTATCAGCATTCTTGAACTACTGATTTTCAGGTAGATTTGTAAATACAAGCGCTAGGTGACATTTGGGTGACATTGTTTATATGCACTTATTGGGTACCAGGCACTGGTGTAAGTGCTTTACAGGTATTAACTCATTTAATCTGCATAATATCCCAAGTGGGATATTATTTCCATTTTCTAGGTAAGAAAACTAAGATACAAAGAGATTAAGTAACTTTCAAGGTCTCACAGCTAGTAAGCTATCAAAAGAATTGGGTGGTCTAGCTTTGAAATCTGTGTTCTTCACTTCACCACTACATTATGCTGCCTCTCTTGTTTAGGATATAACAAATATTACAAATTTTATTCAAATGAATGAGAAAACTGCAGAATAATACCAAAATTCACTTGAAGATAAACTACAAATAGAAAAGCACCAAACATTTGGATAGAAGACCCCACACAATACACCTCAAATATCTGCTAGTTACATATAATGATAACAAAGCAAAATGCACCTAAATATATCTCACTGAAACTCTTGTGAAAACTCTAAAAGTTTTTAGTAAGTGAGGGATATCATATGGGAAACAGTGAGTTACTTAATACCTAAACCTGTTCCAAAAGTAACTTGAGGAGATTTAAGAGATACACACAGCAACAAAAAAAGCTAAAAAAAAACCCCTCAAAATAACATAACAAAACCCAAAACGAAATGTTGACAAACTGAAGAAAAGGGAAAATTAATATAGAAAATATAAATAAGGAATAAGGCTGGTCTTAAGCCCTCTAGAGTTGGGCCATAAAATCTCTCTGGTTTGTATGAACTGAAATAAGATTAAAATTAAGACATCAAGGACCACAGTCAAGCTAGTCCTTGTCTTCTGTAGATCAAGTGTCTCAAATTGCCATAGAGCATAGCCCCAATTATTTGGCTTGACAAAAACTAAAGCAGGTATAACCCAATGATGACTTCTGTCATATATAAATTTCAGTAATGCATCAATAAATGTCTAACTTTAAGCAATATACCCTCAAAAACAGTTGCAAAATAAACAGCTAAGATAGTAAGACAGCTGAATCAGCTGACTTGCAAAAAGGGATTGTCAGCTATGAGGCAAATTAAAGTTGGAAGAGTTGACTTTCATTTTATAAACTTCTTTCTGGCAATAAATAAACAAGATCAGTGTTTATTAAGGCTGCACTTAAACTGTAATCAGTCTGGGTCATTTGCATATTAGAAAATTTAAGAAGCAGACTCATTCAACTCAGTGGGTTCAAATCATTAAGACATGAATAGAGTGGGGATGTGAAATATATCTCATTCTACTCCTCTACAAATATATAACCAATTCTTCAAAAGATTGACTATGACTGTGATCCTGACTCTTGCGGCAGTATTAGGGGTACAGGTTCTGGATTAACATCTAAATAACATGTGTTAAGCTCATGCAGCTTAGACTGTAACTGATGCATGTCCATGTAGTCAAGGGACCTAGGAAAGGTCAGTGACATCTGCAACTAATCAAGTTCTCTATGGGAAGACTCCCTTCCTGGGGAGTAACTGACAATGACATATACAAATAATCTCAGGAAGATAAGGGGACCAAAGAATTAGAACCTATAACTTTATGGGCACAAGTCAAACTTTGTTTCTTTTAAATCTCTCTGATTTGCTTGCCCATGTTTTTCCTCTTTCCCTTTTAGGGGCCTTAGTCACCTTGCAGATCTGGCCACATAGCATTTTCTTTTTCTATAATTTCCCTCTTTAGAATATTAAACTAAGGTATCAACTTAATAAAAGTTTTACTTTACATGGCTCATGCCAATAGAAAGCAAATGTGAGGATCATCCTAAAACCAGGTATGTTTTTGGATTGACTGGGTTTGAGAGCAGCTGGATGAAGAGGCTAGATATTAGCTAGAGATTGGGCAACAGAACAGAGATATCTGTGTTCTGATGCAGTATTTCCCAAGTGTTTTGATTTATGTGCCAGTAAAATTTTAAAACAAATTCTGGGGACTCATTAAGGTAATGAGCTTTTTATAAGGCTAAATTATGACATTAAAGGGAAAGAAGGGGGGCGCCTGGATGGCTCAGTTGGTTGAGCAACTGCCTCGGGCTCGGGTTGTGATCCTGGAGTCCCGGGATCGGGTCCCACATCGGGCTCCCTGCTCAGCGGGGAGTCTGCTTCCCTCCCCCCTCTCATTCTCTCTGTCATTCTCTCTCTCAAAAGTAAATAAAATTTAAAAAAAAAAGGGAAAGAAGGAAGAAATTAAGAACAGAAGGAAGTCTAATATATTACCGCATCTTTCACAAAGAATATTTTAACCTCAAAACAGAAGGGACTTCAGAATTTAAAAAAAAGTCTTTAAGTAAATTTAGCCTAATGAAGAGCCGCTACATTATCCTAATTTTTCCCATTTTTTAGACTGGTGAAATGTCCTTAAATCTACAGACAAGGATTTGGGAATAACTCTTAGTAGTAAGAGAAATAAGGATTTGTTTTTGAGGCTGGTTAAGCTCTGGTGATGCAAGAGGGAGAAAATAGAGTAGAGGCAGGATAACCATATTATCACCATCCAATCTAGAACACTCCTAAAAGTGAAAGAACAGCCTAAAAATCATTAGAATTACATAATTTGGAATAATTCCTTATTGATTGACAAATTGCTTTTATTACACTGAAGGACATGAAGAGTTCTATTAAAAATGTTATAAAAATAAAATGCTTTATTAAAAACATGCAAATATATTAAAGAATATTTTATGGACTTCTTTATATTGAATATTTGGATATTAGAGTAGTGTTAACGGAGCAATTACTTAGTACATATCCATGTATTTTAGTCAATCTATGAGCTGTATCTATCTCTTAATTCCGTATCTGTGGTGTATGACTGAAAATTTTTTTTCAATATAGTCTCATTTTTAATTTTTTCATAAAACTGCCTGCAACTGTTATATTTTATGGTTAATAACTTTGAAACTATTGATACCTTCAATTGACTCTTTTCTGTAATATTTTAACACTACAGTATTTATATTCAGAGAATACTCTGATTCTTAGGTGCCATCTGGTAAGCTGGGAGCCAATGCTGCTAAGTAGAGGATATTTTTAATACTATTTTTTTCTTATTGAAATGTGTAAATATTTCACTCCAAATACTTTCAATGGAACTATAATACCTTCAAAATTCTAACAAACAAAACTCACTGAATTGTCTCTATGCTTCTTTTGAATATTTTACCAAATTTAGATTTTTTAAAAAGATTTTATTTATTTATCTGACAGAGAGAGACACAGCGAGAGAGGGAACACAAGCAGGGGGAGTGGGAAAGGGAGAAGCAGGCTTCCCGTGGAGCAGGAAGCCCGATGTGGGGCTCAATCCCAGGACCCTGGGATCATGACCTGAGCCAAAGGTAGACGCTTAGCAACTGAGCCACCCAGGCACCCTAGATTTTTTTTTTAGTTCACTGTTGCCAAAAGGGTTTATTGCAAAATAAAAAAAAGTACTGCCAATATTAAGCAGTTATAGATTTATACAATAAATGACAAAACCATTCAGATCTTTTTCCCCATATATTCTGTGGCAGGGATATTTAGATTTTATTTCCTGCATGTATTTTACATTCATCTAACCTGTATGCTTCCCATTGGTCACCGCCAACCAGTGGCCTCATAATGCCAAGTGGCCAGCAGGGGCAGCAGCATCACATACTTCTTCAGTTGCCACCACTACCAGGAGACTGGAAGATGTTAGCAGACCCTAGCCCTCTATATCTAAGAACACTTTATTTCACTTCTAACTACCTTAATGGCTATCCTTGGACTTGCTTCTGGTAAGGGTCAGAAAAAAGAAACCATTTACTCTGGTTGTTTTTAAGATTTAATCATAGGTTAAAGTGAAAACGAGAGATGGATATACTGCTTGCTAGAGGAAATCATGGCAGAAGCTGGAAATACAAAATGGCAGACAGTCGATTAGATGCATCACAGCTTATATTAATGGAACCACTAATTATACTCTCAAAGTCTGGAACAAATGCTAAACTGGTTAGACAAATGTAAAACTGGGACTGTCCTAGACAAATTGGGACCAATAAAGTCACCCTATTAATAGTAGATGCCTATTTGCTAAAGTCTACAAAACACCTGGTAACATTTGTTCACTTGAGGCAGGCAATTAGCAGAGGACTTGAGTCTAGGAACTTAACAAGTTGGTGATCATAATTTGGGAACAGAATAAGGCAGAGAGTTACAGAAGAAAGAGAAAAGATCAAGGTCATTATTCACTGCTTAGATGTTTAAGGGCTTTTTCCATGAAAATATATTATTCTTTTTTAAGGCTGGATAAAGTAGACTGCTTAAATTAGGGGCCGAAGTAGGATTCAGAATTATGGGTAATTTCATTTATCTGTGTACAGCTAATTGAAAATTTCTATAATTAGATTTGCTAAGCATTTAGATTAGTGATAAGCACACCAAGTAGAAAAAGTCTGAAGAATGACATATCATGGTTAGAATTTATCTTTAGCACTAAGCTAAACTGTATACAGATAAAAAAAACTTGCAGTAGATGTATTTATCAAGTACCTATTTCTAAAGAAGTTATTTTCAGTGTTTTTGTTTAGAAAGCTACAAAGGCTGTGACATTAATGTACATCTATGCTGTGAACACTATTTTTAGTATCAGTCTAATGTGAACAATGATGAATCATTCTTTGTTATTCTAGTAGGAAATAGTGCTTGGGTTTTACTGCAGCACATTAGATTAACTATCTCTCAATAACTGCACACCCACATGCTGACATCACACTGGCAGTGATATGGATCAATGACGCAAATCCTGTCAGGATCAAACATTAAGGCCACAGCGGTTAAAAAAAAAAATGCCCACATGACAGAGCAGACCAGTCATCCAACATGCACAGACTGCATTAAATCAGAATTGCTGATGTTAAAAAGGGTTGTGATAGGTTCTTTTCACATAATTGCTAAGCTTTTTAATTTTAATTATAGATTTCCCACATCATTGACTCTGTATTTATCTTTAAGTTTCCTCACAGCTTCTGTGATTTAAGGTGTGGACCTTTTAAAACACGTCTTAAGGTTCTACCAGCCACATGAGTTATCTGGAAAATGGCCTCTGTAGCCAATCTTTAGACCGATCTTCTGCAGAATATGCCACCATTTATTAAGCTTTTTATATAACATGTTGTGCCTGACAAATAACATTTACATTTAGATTTGCAGCTACACAGAACTACTATATTCTGTGGCCTCACAATTTACTGCTACCTCAGAGTCTCTTTTACACTGTCATCTTCTTTGGGCTTTCACTATTTTTAGTTTTACTGACATCAAAATAATTGCTTTTTTTAATAGATTTTTTTTTTTTTTTTTTTTTACAGACGGATCGGAAAAGATGGTTTATTATGAGTAACTACATATAAGGTTTCAAAATATCTTCTCCCTGCATTAGCCCACCTTGAATTAGAGATCTCCTGTCCCCTAACAGGAACAGAACTTATCTCTGGAGGCTTGCCACAGAATGTTCACATCCTTCTGTATGGTCTTCTGGGAAGAAATTAAGCCTCTACACTTAAACACTAACATTCTTTCTCCTCAAAGACTATCGCTTTCCAGGAGAACTGGAAAGCTGAAGGGAGATGAGAGCTGGAGGTAAGTTTAATAACCTTTTGTTCTATCATCATTAATCTGACATAATCAGACTAACTTGAAAACATGCCAAGGATCCTTTCCCATGCTCTTGGGCACTTGCTTTCATGTTGTTTCCTATGAGAAGTTGTTTTTTTTAAAAGGAAAAGCACAGGTTCTCCCTTATTCTTAGGTTGGTTTGTTTTTTAAAAACTATTAATCAACTGTAAGAAATATTTGGAAGACATAAAAATTACTGAAATAGTTGTCTTTGTGATTCTTTTTGGAGGGTAATCTTTAAATCTAGATTTTTCATAGCAGAAGCCAAATGCTGTTTCATAACTGAAGACACTGCTGTACTTTTTCACTATACATCAACTTTCATCAGGAGAAGACCTGGACTATAAGGTCTTATATCATTTGCTGTTGGCCACTATTTTACCCTACTCATTCCAACCTTCTCAGGGCAAGTCCCCACCAGGTAACATGATCTTAAATGGGAAAAAGGAGATTAAAAACTCACTGTGTTGATGGCTTGCTAAAGACTATGAAGAGAGGATAAAACACCCACAAGAGCAAAGACAGAAATAGAGGCCTCATATCCCTTTCATTCTCTTCAGATTCAAGCATTACCAGACTGGGAAGTAAAAAGTCTTACTTATTAGATCATTTATGATGAGGTTAAGCCGAGAAAGGTAGGAGACAGGGCTTTTCCCAGGCTCTTAGCTTGTGGTCATAAAACATTTTGGAGATATTTAAATTGCAGGTTTGGGACCTTCCTTTTCAACCTTGTCTCTCAGCTATACAGTTTCTCCCCCAAAGCAACCATTCTTTGCTTCTTATAAATCCTTTCAGAGATAGTCTATGCATATAAAAGCAACTATATGTATATTCTTTTAAAAATACAAAGGATAGGGGTACCTGGGTGGCTCAGTTGGTTAAACATCTGCCTTCAGCTCAGGTCATGATCTCAGGGTCCTGGGATCAGCCCAGCATCAGGCTTCTTGCTCAGCGGGGAGTCTGCTTCTCCTTCTCCCCTTGCCACTTCCCCCTGCTCATGTGCCCTCTCTCTCTCTCTCAAATAAATAAATGAAATCTTTATTTAAAAAATACAAATGAGGGCGCCTGGGTGGCTCAGATGGTTAAGCGTCTGCCTTTGGCTCAGGTCATGATCCCAGGGTCCTGGGGTCGAGTCCCGCATCAGGCTCCCTACTCCTTGGGAGCCTGCTTCTCCCTCTGCTTCTCTCTCTCTCTCTCTCTCTCTATCCCTCTGTCTCTCATGAATGAATAAATAAAATCTTTTAAAAAAAATTAAAAAAATTAAAAAAAATAAAAAATACAAATGATAGTATACTATATATACTGTTCTGCACCTTAATAATATAGCTTAGAGATCTTTCCATATTGGTACACATGTAGGGCTGCTTCACTTCTTAATAGCTGCATAGTATTTCACTGTAACAACGTACCATAATTTATTGAACTATTCCCCTATTGATAGGCATTCAAGTTATTTTCAACCTTTTACTATTAAAACAATGCTGAGTATCTTTGTATGAACATCATTTCATAAATGTTTAGTATATCTGTAGTATAAATTATTAGAAGTGGAATTGCTGTATCAAAGAATTTACATTTTCAACATTACCAAATCTGAGTCTGTACTAATTAATATATGTTCTCCTCAACACATCCTTACCAGTAGTTATCAAACTTTTGATATCTGCCAATCTGAAAGGTGAAAACAGTGTCTCAATATAGTTTGGTTTGCATTTTCTTATGAGTTAGGTTGAATATCCATATTAAACATTTAAGAAGACCATTTATTTTTCCTTTTCTGACATCTTGGACTACCATCAGCCCACTGATTCTCAGGCCTGTGGTTTGAACTGAGTTTTACCACCAACTTTTCTGGTTCTCTAGCTTGCAGAAGGCAGATCGTGAAAACTTCTTGGCCTTCATTAACATGTAAGCTAATTGCTATACGAAATCTCTGCTTATATATCCTATGTATATCCTATTGCTTCTGTTTCTCTGGACAATCCTGACTAGTACACATTCCAAGCCGTTCTTATAAGCAAGAGCAATAAAACCAAATGGCATTTTCAACCTTACATGCTCATCATTTCCACCTTTCTACCCAAACCAATTCTTTTTTTCTTCTGTATTATTTAGCATAGTAAAGGGTGCTCTCATTAGCTTTCTGTTCAACTGACTGGGAAAACTGTAAATCATCCTAGTCCATTCTCACCCCCTACACTGAGCCCTCATATCTCATCATTATTACTACTCTTTTTGGTTACTTCCCTGCTTAAAATCCTCAGTGGCTCCCCGTTCCTTTCAGGATAAAACCTAAAAAAATTTTTTAAAGATTTATTATTTATTTGTCAGAGAGAGAGAGAGAGCACAAGCAAGGGGAGTGGCAGGCAGAGGCAGAGGGAGAAACAGGCTCCCCACTGAGCAAGGAGCCCAATATGGCCCTTGATCCCAGGACCCTGGGATTATGATCTGAGCCAAAGGCAGATGCTTAACTGACTGAGTCACCCAGGCATCCCAAAATCTAAAATTTTTGGCATGACATATGAAGGTATTTGTAACAAAGCCTATGTTTCCATTTTTAGTCTCATTTCCAGATACCCCCGTATGTATAATGTTCTCTAATCACTCTTTCTCATCATACCTTTTTGGTCTCCTCTAATGTCTGTGCACTATGCCTCTGTACAGGTGATTCCTTCTGCCTCTAAGATATTTCTCTATTTTTTTCCTCATGGCTAAATTTTCTATTTCTTTACACAACAACTTTTCCTGGAAGCACTCAACGACTATTCCAAGCTGTGTTAGGTTTTCCTTCTCTGGCCTCCCACATATATTTGGGCATACCTAATTCCATCATAGTACATATTTTGCTCTGTTTTAACTGTGGATTACTTGCCCGTTTCCCTTAGTCAGCTGTGAGACAGGGTCTAAGTTTCTCAAATGGCTGTCAAGAATTGAGTTGTCCTTCAGGACAGCAAAAGACATTTAGGGCAAATTCTCTTTCCAGGAAAAGAACACGCATTTAGTTATTCTCTTTTGTGTTCTGGCAAGTGTCTAAGTATGGGAGACTGAGTACAAAAGGGTAAGGAATTCCAATATATTAAGATGCTTAAAAATGTGACAATATCGAAATGATGATCTTTCATTGTAATGATGAAGGGATTTTCCAAAAATGGTGAGAGATTATATGATAAAATGAAGCAGGAGGGGATGTTGAATACAGAGAACTTTGTTGATCCATAGAGAATAAAAACAGGATTTGATTAAAATTTAATCTCTAAAAGTGAATCAACATTTTCAAATGTTAGTGTACAGGTTTTGGGATCAGAATTCTATATTTAAATTATGACTGGCAAACCTCTGGAGACTTAGAGCAATTAATACATTACCTGCAAGAAAATCATCTACCACCACCATTATTATGTTACTGCATGACTCTTATGGTTAATGGCGACGTGTCTGGATGTGCCTTCATATAATACCACAGTCACAGTCCGGGCACAAGCCAAACTTCTGTAGACATAGGAAGGGGCTTTCTAAGAAATGAAATTGTATTGATTGCCATAACAGAGGAAATGAGAATTGTCAGGATGAGTCCTAGATAAGTTCGAAGAGAGAATGATTTTTCCATCTCTCTGTATCTAGGGAAATAGTAAAAATTACATTCAACATGTTGTCATATAAGAAAAGGATGCTTTTGTTTCCTGGGTTACTCTCTGTAGATGGCACAAGCGTTATGTAAATTCATGGTAGTCTCTATAACTTTATATATAAATGTTCTCTGAACATCCTAGCCTTGCCTTATCCCAGCTGTGCTTTGGGCAAAAATTAGAAAGGTTTATGCCTTTGTTAGAATGCTTAATTAACACTTCTCTTGAGTCCAAAATTGTGGTTGTAGCTACTACAAGGTTAAACTAAGGTAAATCTCTGTATTTGTAATTCAGTTGCCCTTCTCACCAGGATATCTTTCTACTGAAGCTAACTTAGAGAGTCTGGTTTTTATTTAATAAGGAAGGTAATCTTTCTAAGACATTCTTTCATAGGGTTAGGAAAATGTATGCAGAACACAAAGTAGGTCTGCAGTAATACTGGTTTCTTTCCCTAGCAGCCCTTCACAAAATGGTTTGGCTAAATAGAGAGGATCCAAACAAATATATCTTCCTCCATAAATACAGTCTGGCTTATACTAATATATTTTTGGGGTTGACAAAATCCTCAACATCTAAAGTTTTTTTGCCCTAGGTTTCTTATATGTCCTTCTGAATGTCAGAATTCTTTAAGTCAGCTCCATATTATATCAAATTTATACATTTCTTCTAGCCCCTTAACTTTCAAAAATTGTCAGACTATTATGTACTTATAAGCTTGGTAGTCCCACGTTTTAGTTTTTACTAATTAAAACATCCACTTATCTGCACCAAAATATATTATATGGTCCACCATTTTCCTTAACGAGCATAAAGCCTCAGCTCTAAAGAAAATAATCTATAAATTTTTAAAAACGAAAGTTGGACTAAATAATTTAAAAGAGGCTAAAACATCACTTATATGATTATTTAAGCAGTTAATATTATAATCAATATTATAACTGATAATTTTGATAGTCAAAATTATCAGATTATATAGAATGTATAAGGAAGAAAAATTCCTGTAACCCTACCATACAGGGAGACAGGCACTTGAAGGAAATGTGCCAAAATTTTTTTGGATGCATATGTATTCATTAAAAGTAGTATTTTTCCTAATTACAAAAAAGCTAATTCTGTTCATATCCTTAATGTATAAAAGATTCAAGTCTTAATTAAATAAAGCCACTAATTAAGAAGAGTTTTTAATGTTCCACTTGGGGAGGTAAAAAGTAAAGAATGGAATGCATCCTTTGAGTGTCCTAACCCCAGGACTGATTTGGGTGCTCCTGCTACAAGCTTCCATAACACCCTTCCTGTTCTTTTCCATCACAGCACTTCTCTCATTATTTTGAATTCCTTAACTATTTGTCTTCCCTAGGAGACTGTAAACTTTGTGAGGGGTGGGGATAAGGTCTATCTTACTTATCACTAAATATTCAGTTTTGCAATAGTTGACTGTACATACTAAATTCATAATAATTTGCTAAATAAAAGAATGAGTTTAAAAAGAACCTCCAAACTATAGTCTAGGGTAAGTAATTTATCAACTCAATTTTCTAAATAATCCACACTACAGTACAATCAGTATTAATGTTTATAATGATTCTCAATTGTTTTCTGTATCTTTTTACCAAGGTTAAATGGGTAAACATTTTCAGTAAAATGACTTGGAAAAAAGCTTTCTGCTTTTCAGTCAATCAGAAAGGTTATTTTTAAAGAACACCCTCTGCTAGGTTCAAGTTTAAAACACACTTTTATGCCTACAGTTATTCACTCTAATATCATCTTCAGCAAAAATATCTTAAAGCCAATTGATGAAGATTTCTTCCCCAAAAGATGAGAAGATAGATATGTGTGTACATGCTCCTGTGTGATTTTTCTAAGAAGAAACAACGTGAACAAAGATATGAAGGTGGTATCAGCAAGAAATATGTAGAGACTAAGGTATCTATTAATCCTGGAATATTTGGAGTGGAAGATTTCTGTAAGTAAAGCTGGAAGTAAAGGTTGGAACCAGGGATGGAGTGCCTAGAAAATTAGGCTAAGGGTTCTAAATTTGGGTCCTAATCAATGTGGGACTAATGTTCTTAAAAGACCATAAAACTACTCAGTTAGGTGTAATACATGCCTAGATGGATTTTCATGACAATTTTTTTATTTTATTTTAAGAATTATTTATTTATTTGACAGAGAGAGAGGCACAGTGAAGACAGGGAACACAAGCAGGGGGAGTGGGAGAGGGAGAAGCAGGCTTCCTGCTGAGCAGGGAGCCCGATGTGGGGCTCGATGTCAGGACCCTGGGATCATGACCTGAGCCGAAGGCAGATGTTTAACCGACTGAGCCACCCAGGCGCCCGTTTCATGACAATTTTTAATCACGTCTGGTTAGGAAGCTCAGTTCTCTAATGTGGCTACAATTTCCCCAGTTCACACGTCTAGTTAGGCAGATTTGATCAAATTGCATTATCTCCATCTCACTTAAGAGGTAATTGCTTCATATAGCTAGTTTTCAACTTATTAGCAAGTGAACTGTCAAGATAGATATTTCAAATCCAGAATGTACTAATTGCTCTCAACTTCTGAATGGTAGTAAGGTTCTGCTATAAATAGTCACCAATGAAAACTGATATGGCCTAAAACGTAGTTACAATACTGTGCACATGCAATGACAAGAAAAGTGGAATGACCTTTTACTATTAATTACTATAAAATATATTTGAAAGGGGATGCCTCTGCCTCTGTCTCTCATGAATAAATAAAATCTTAAAAAATATATATATTTGAATGTATCAAACATTTAAAAATACCTAATGTAATTTAATCATATATATATGTATGTCATATATATATGTCTGACATGGCCTCCTTTGGGCCAAAATCTTGTGATAAAGTTCAAAAATCTAATCTTGTTGCAGGACAAAGAATAAGAATAGAGAGACACCAATCCCAGAGGGACAGGTGAAATGTTGCTGAGCAAAGGTAAATAAATATTTTTTGAGTAAAAAGAAAGAAGGGAGGTAGAAGTTTCTTATATACAGCCTTGTTTTATTTGTTTAAAATGTTATTTTTAATAGGAAGTACATTTACAAGATTCAAAAAATGAAAAATATAAAAAAGTATAGAGAGGAAACTTTCATTCCATCCTTGTTCCCCATTTCATGCACTACCACCCCTTAAATAAACACTATAATTACTTTTGGAAGATCCTTCAAGATTTATTATTATTTTTTGTACTCTGTGACATTTATTCTTTACCTTCCAGTATTGTTTTCAAATAAGCTATGGCCAATGAGAATGTGATCTGTACAATCTCCAGGGTGTGTCTTTAAAGAAAGAGGGTATACCTCAAGTCTCTCCTCTTCCCCTTTTCCACTTTGTCTGGGACGTAGACATGGTGGTGAGCCATCTTGATTCATGCAGATGAGCACAATATCCTAGGGATGGCAGGCCAAGCAAGAAGTAACTTGGGTCCCTGTATTACCTTTGGGGCAGAGAACTCCATAAAAGCATGAACTGCTTACCTGTGAACTATAATTCATGAGAGAAAAAAAGTTCATATTATTTTCCTTAGTTTTCAACTGCTGTGAAACATTAGCACAAATTTAGTGGTTTTAAAAAACACCCATTTATTAGTTCACAGTCCTGTAGTTCAGAAGTCTGGGCATAGTGTGACTGGGTTCTCTGTTAAGGATTCAAAGTAAAAATCAAAATGTTGGCTAGGGTGTGTTCTCATCTGGAGGTTGGAGTCCTCTTCCAAACTCACATGGTTGTGGCAGAATTAGATTCTTGTGGCTGTAGGACTAAGACCCTCATTTCATTGCTGGCTGTCAGCTGGAAGCCACTCTCAGGTTGAGGCCACCCACATTCTTTGCTACATGGCAAATCTCCTTCCCAAATCTCTTACTTCTAGAAGAGCCCAGTCCCTTTTTATGGGCTCATCTGATTAGGTGAGGTTCAGCCCAGATCATCTCTCTTTTCTTGAAAGTCAACTGCACTGCTGACTTTTATAATATAACCTAATTATGGAAGTAAAATTCATCATATTCATGGTCCCAGGGATTACATTTGGTGTGTACAACAGGGGGCACTGACCTTAAGGGCCATCTTAGAATTCTGCCTACCATATCATTTAAACTCTGCCTTCAGGTATCTTCTACACTTTTTTTTCTTTTTTGTAAAAATGAAAATAAATTTTTAATACTTATTTTTTGAAAATTGTGGCTAAAATATAGATCAATTTTTTTCATTGTTCTGTATTTCTATGTTTTCTTTTTTTTAATTTTTTTAAATTTTATTTTATTATGTTGTTAGTCACCATACATTACATCATTAGTTTTTGATGTAGTGTTCCATGATTCATTATTTGAGTGTAACACCCAGTGCTCCATGCAATACGTGCCCTCCTTAATACCTATCACTGGGCTAACCCATCCCCTAACTCCCTCCCCTCTAAAACCCTCAGTTTGTTTCTCAGAGTCCATAGTCTCTCATGGTTCGTCTCCCCCTCCGATTCACCCCTTCATTTTTCCCTTCCTACTATCTTCTTTTTTTTTTTAACATACAAATGTATTGTTTCAGAGGTACAGGTCTGTGATTCATCAGTCTTACACAATACACAGCACTCACCATAGCACATACCCTCCCCAATGTCTATCACCCAGCCACCCCATCCCTCCCACCCCCCACCACTCCAGCAACCCTCAGTTTGTTTCCTGAGATTAAGAATTCCTCATATCAGTGAGATCATATGATATTTGTTTTTCTTTTCTCTGATTGACTTATTTCGCTTAGATAATACCCTCTAGTTCCAACTACATCATTGCAAATGGCAAGATTTCGTTATTTTTTTTAATGGCTGCATAGTATTCCAAGAATATAGATAAAATTAACTATTTAAACTATTTTCAAGTGCACAGCTTAGGGGCATTAAGACTACTGTTGTGCAATAGTTACCACCATTGGGAAAAAAAATAATTACCTCCATCCATCTCTAGAACTTTTGTTATCTTTCAAAACTGAAACTTTGTACTCATTAAACAGTAACTCCTCATTTCCCCCCTGGTCCCCTAGCAATCACCATTCTACTTTCTGTCTCTATGAATCTGACTAAGAGAAATTATACAGCATTTGTCCTCTTGTGACTGGCTTATTTCACTTATATGCTACATTCTTTTGAACTCATATCTTTTTTTTTTTTAAAGATTTTCTTTTATTTGACAGAGAAAGACACAGCAAGAGAGGGAACACAAGCAGGGTGAGTGGGAGAGGGAGAAGCAGGCTTCCCGCTGAGTAGGGAGCCCGATACGGGGCCTGATCCCAGGACCCTGGGATCATGACCTGAGCCAAAGGCAGATGCTTAACGACTGAGCCACCCAGGCGCCCCAAACTCATATCTTAATATATATCAGGGGCGCCTGGGTGGCTCAGTTGGTTAAGCGACTGCCTTCGGCTCAGGTCATGATCCTGGAGTCCCAGGATCGAGTCCTGCATCGGGCTCCCTGCTCAGCAGGGAGTCTGCTTCTCCCTCTGACCCTCCCCCCTCTCATGCTCTCTCTCTCTCTCTATCTCATTCTCTCTCTCAAATAAATAAATAAAATCTTAAAAAAATATATATATATATCAAAAAAGATTGAGGAGGAGTTGCCAGGGATATAGGAAAAAAATCAGGAGAATATGTAAACTATAAAAGAAAAAGTCAAGAGAAGAGTGTTCCGAGGAGGAGGGAATATTATACTGTGTCAAATCCTGAGGGAGAGGTTAAGTTTGATGAGAACCAAGCCCACTCATATCAGCAATACAGATCAGAGGTTGCTGGTGACCTTCACAAAGTGTGACACAGTAATTCTCTAGAGGTATTTTGTGAATCACCATGGTTACTACCCGTTGTGGATTATTTTCCCATGCTATGAGAATTCTGAAGTCAAGCAAAAATGTACAAAGCTAAATGAAATCAATATAGCCCAAACACAATTCCTTTGGCCTCAGTTTTCAAGTCATTTCATGATGAAATGAGATTTTAAAAAAGTATTTCAGGGAAAAATATGGGTAGTACAAAAAAATAAGAGATTACTTATATGTTGCACATAATTATCGACTGAGGTCATTTATTCAATTAACAAATATTTACTGAGTGCCTACATAGTGCCAGGAATAGACTTCATTATAATTACATATTTCCTTGTTTCAGATATTAAAGGTTAAAAATGTTACAATATTAAAGATATTTGAATGTTCAGTAAAGACAGTATGTCTGTTAGGCTAACTTTAACCTAAGCAAATAAGTAATGATGCTAATTCTAACCGAAGGCCAATGAAAATTTGATTCTAATAAAAATCCAATCATATGATGATCCAGAGAAAAGAAAGTATTTGAGATATTAAGATAGCAAAATTTTTCTTCTATAGAAAGCACATTATTTCTAATTTTCTATTACCTGGAATGTAGTAAATACTTTTAAACAAAAAATTAAATGGTCATTTAATTTTAAAAAACCAACCTACCTCTCCCTCATGAAAGCACGTTACCATTTTCTTTTACTTAGACATATTGACTGTACAGCCATTTATATATTAAAAGGTAGCTTTAAAAATCAAACTAAACAGAAACTGTTCTAGATATGTCATTCTGAAGAGTTTAAGATCTGCTTAATGATTCTTTAGCTCTTCTTCTATTTCTGACTCTAATTATTTAAAGCATCCAAATTCATTTTTCATTCTTGCCTTTAAAATTGTCTAATCTTTCCATCATGAGCCAATCTGGTTTTCTTATCTTCCTCATTTTCCACCTCACAATCTACCTTTAATAAGTGGCTTCTTTCCTAAAAGGAAAATCAGGGTCACTTGAAGGAGAGAGAACTGCACCTAAAATAAACATCTTATATCCATATTTCTGTGTATTTAATAAAATACCACTTTGTGAGACCAGTTCAGAGAAGGCATAGATCCTGATAGAATCTTTTTATATTTGTCACTATTTTATATTGGTCACTAACCAATATAAAAAGTATCAGAATGCAACATGTTTATAAACACTGAAAAGTTAATACAAACTATTTGTATTTCTGGGTCTTAATTTCCTTTTGTCATTACCCATTAAAACTTTTTATTTATTTATTTATTTGAGAGAGAGAGAGAATGAGAGAGCGAGCACATGAGAGGGGGGAGGGTCAGAGAGAGAAGCAGACTCCCTGCCGAGCAGGGAGCCCGATGCGGGACTCGATCCAGGGACTCCAGGATCATGACCTGAGCCGAAGGCAGTCGCTTAACGAACTGAGCCACCCAGGCGCCCCCCATTAAAACATTTTTAATCAAGATTTTGTCACATATTTTATCAGAACTCACTAAACTGGTTTAGATTTTCTACTTCCAGGAGAATATAACAGTGATATTTTATTCATTAGGAACATAAACAATCGAGGACAACTGAATTTGCCTATATTTTCCTTTTTGGCATAAATGTTGCAATTTTCTCTTAACTAAGTCATATATAATAAAGTTTCTCTCAAAAAGTAGCACTAAATAGGTTTTAGGGACAACCTGGGACTATTACACAATGTACTCAGGATGAGTCATAGTCATTCACTGAACCTAAGATGGGCTGAATTAATGAATGGATGACCTGCCATGATTCATTTTCACAAACAAGACTCATTAATGTTTCAAAACTAGTATTTTAAGCCTCTCTACTAGAACTGATGTTTTTTTCATCCTGGGGGAGGAATTATAAAGGGCAAAGTCTTTAATATAATAATGTGATTTTCCACCAGTATGAAAAATAGTCACCTATGCTTTAGAGCATTTTCTAAGAGTGGTTAAGATTTTCTAAGTAATACATAAAGGACCTACCTTTCCATGGTTTAGTTTGCTGAACTGTAAAATAATGCATACTCATATGGGAATAAGAATCTACTACATATGGGGAGCGCCTGAGTGGCTCAGTTGGTTAAGCATCTACCTTCGTAGTCCCCGTGGTCTC